GAGGGGCCGCGCTCGGCTCTGCCGGATGCCGGAGGGAGCCCCGCCGCCGCCGCCCCAAAAGCCCCCACTCCTTGGGGGACCCCGGGACTCCCCAGGCAGACGAAGCGTGAAACCGATGCCCGGGAGTGGTTGCTTTAACCATACGTGGCCTTCGGTAAGGGGCAGGGAAGTGGAATCAAATATTGGGGTCATCTTGGCTCCTCCCTCAAAGGACCCTCAGCCTGAGGAAGGTGGGCCACTCCTGGGCTGGGGGTGCCCTGCCTCCTGGTCACTGCTGGGGAGTGGACTAAATGTCCTTGGAGGTCCCCTCTTTTTCTCAAACCCTGTAACCCTAACTTCAAAACCTGGCCAAGTCCCTCACCCCCTCCCCTTTGAATAGCTTCTCAATTCCAGGGTCTTTCACAGCACTTTAAGACTGGTGCTAAATCCAGTTTTATGGGCTGGTCTCAAAAGATCCAGGCACAGCTCTTAGGCACAGCAACTCTGAGATGGCAAAGTCAATTTTCAAGAGTGGGGGAGGAAGGGAAATGAGAGGGGAGGCTAATTCTACTTTTGGAAATTCAAAAGATCCAGGCACAGCTCTTAGGCACAGCAACTCTGAGATGGCAAAGTCAATTTTCAAGAGTGGGGGAGGAAGGGAAATGAGAGGGGAGGCTAATTCTACTTTTGGAAATGCTTGTGTCTTCATACCTCTTTGCCACGTTTAATTTGTCGTGGTGTCACTTGGTGCCTTTGATCGCTTGGACCCAAGCAACGCATGTGGTCTCAGAGTGGCTGTATGGTACTCGGGTTCACACAACTGGACAGTCTTCTTCCTTGTCAACAGAACGGAGATGCTGAGTTGAAGAACCTCCCGTCTCTTCTGGTGACGCTTTTATCCTGCAAGCAGATGTTCTGCATTTACTAATCACCCCTGTAAGGTACCCATCGGTTGAATGGCTAGTTTGAATACCAAACCACTTCCTGCACCACCACTGTATTTGGGGTGTTCAAAACAAACAAGTTTTGTGATACCTTATATGCTTTCTTTTCCCACTGAGTTCTAGTTTGCAAAAGTCTGTGCTTTAAAACCGGTCTCTTCACTCAGAAGACTAATGTTGTAGCCACAATAGACCAACAAGAAAATCTGTCTGGAAATGTGAAATTAAGGCGAGGTGTCGTTCTCTTGGACTTGATTATATCTTAAATGCAGATTTGGATTATATTTTGCATCTCTAGATAAAGAGATCGATGTTAGATGGGCTAGCAAGAGAGGACGTAAACTCAAGGACAGAGTCTTATGTTAATATATGTTTTTTAAAAGGGCCCCTTTGTGTGTTCTAAACTGGGCATAAAGTCAAGTCCATCCACTTTTACTCCCTCAGGAGACTTTGTGGCCACAAACAGCAGAGTGCTATGGTTAAATTGTCTTTGGGCACTTGGAGCACATTCCCCTGAAAACAGCTCTGGAAGAAAATCAGCACCAGGTGTCCCCCACTTCTTAAAGTGTTTTTCTTTCTTTTTCCAAACTCGGAAACCAGGAAAAGTAAAAGAAGTGCTAGATATACTTCAATAGGAAATGTTCTGGTCTGCTGGTGGGCCCCTGGCCGGGGAGCCAGGAGAAGGGAAGTTGCCCCATTGTCATCCTGCAAAGAGAGGGGCTCATCCCAACAGGGAAAAGACCCCCCCAAAACAGGACCAGCCCTTGACTGTTTGTTAAGGCATGATCAGGCAGCTAAGCCTTTGATACGTCTGCTCCAGTTTCAGCAGCCCTCATAAAGCCCCCTTTGTTCTTTTGGGCAGAGGGGGTGGGTGGGATTCAATGGGTTTTGGGGCTGGGAAAAAAGAACTCCCCCTTCCTGCCAAAACAAGGAGGAAGACCTTCTTCAAGCCCCCCAGCCCACCCTGAGGTGAAATTAACTCTTAGCTCGCTGGTAGCCATGTCTGGAGAGGGAAGAATGGCAGAGGTGGATTAAAACTCTAACCCTCTTCTCCACTCCTAAAATCTTTGCTCTGAATGGAGAAGTGCCCTGTAGTGTGGGCGTGTTTCCAGGCGAAAATTGGTGCAGGGAAGATGTTTGGCTGGAGCTCAAGGTATGGCACGTCTCTGAGAAAAAAGTCCGGGATGGAAAACCAGTTCCACCGGAGCTGAATCTTGAGGCAGATGATGCTCAAACCAGATTTCTAAAAAAGGAGGAGGACAGGGCCACAGATAAATTCCTGTCCACACCCACTCACCCAGAAAAAGGCGAAGGCATTGGAGCAGAGATCAACCCGTTGCTGGCTTGGAGCCCCCTTTCCTGCCACGACGGCTCAAAGAAGCTGCCTGCTCTTTGGCGGGGAAGGGAGGGACTTCCCTGGCGCTTGCCAGGAGCCCCCCCCCATGCCATGCAGACAGCTCAGGAATAAACAAGGCATCTGCCTCCAGCCAGATGATTGTGTGGATCTGGGCCAGGCCCTGACAGCTTCAGGAAAGCAAACATTCCAGAGTCTGCCTGGGCAAGTTGATCCATTCCCCCGGTCCTGAGCCGAGCCTTCGCTCCTGTTTCTTCATGTCATTCTTTGTCGTGGTGTAAACACTTCCTTCCTCTGTTTATGCATTCTTTCAGGTTGGCCAAAAAAAGAAAAGGGGGGGGACCCTTTAATATTACCCTTGATCTTCAAGTTTTCCCTTTCTTCAAAAGAAATGTCCCCCCCCCCTTTTTGATTCAGATTCGTACTCTAATATATACTCAAACTCTTGGACAAACTACAGTTGATTCTACGGCAGCCCTTGGGTCCTCCCCTCTCCAAAAACTTTTATACTGATTCTCCCAACCCAGGACTGGGGCTGGCAGTGCCTCAAAGGGACGGCTATGCCTGGTTTGGGCAAGGTGGGGAGAGAGAGGGAAAAGCCCAGCCGGGTCTTTTATGCCTCTGATGAGCAGCTTGAACGGCACACAGGAGGAGCGGGTCCCCAAACTGACTGCAACGCTTGTGTGGGGTTCTGGGGTTCAGCAGCAGCTTTTGCCACGGAATAGCTTAGAACCAGCTGGCATTTGCAATTTGAGCCGCTTTCTGTGAAGACAAGGAAGAGGGCTGTTTTTTCATCAGATTTCTCTTTGCTCCCTCCCTCCTTTGTCCCTTTAGGGCCCTTCCAGAGAATCCCAGGGATTCTGTGATCAGGGCCCTGAAGCTGCCGGTTGCCTTCTTTGGCCAGAAGGTGGCAGTGTTCCCACTCAGCTCTGCTTCCCTTCCCACCTTGACCTCGAAGACGCTCCACCAATCGACAGGCGTCCCCAGTTTGGCCCACTCCACTAGGAATTCTGGGAGCTGTAGTCCAACCTGGGGGCCAGGCTGAAGCCCTGCTGTAGGACTTAGCTTAGAAATGAGCAATGATCCCAGACTGGAGTCGCGCAGTGCCCAAACGCAGCATGCTCAACCAGAGTTTACTAAATAAACTCTGATTGGATTGGCTGCACAACATGTTAAGCTATAAACCATGGCTTGTAAACCACAACTTGCTGATGAAAGTCAAGCCAAAGCCCTTTCTGGGTCATCAAGGTTGAGAAACACTGGTGTAGAGGATTTAATCTTTTGGAAGTGAGAAAGAAAGGCTGACGCCAAGCTGGCAAGTCTCTCCATAGTTATTTTATTTTAACATCTCTTGTTTAATTACAGACAGTAAAATAGCTCAGTAGGTA